AGTCTCAATTTGCCACCTATGGACTGTAACCTGTACTTGTCAGGGGTTCAGGATTTAGCCTGTGGGACAACTTCCTGAAGCTCTGCTGTTACCCAAAGGCCATATTCCTTCCCAGGTCCAGAACTGACCGATGGACTATGTCTCATGTTCAACCAATCCAAATTGAAAAAGCTTTTGTACTTCATTTTCTTTCCCTTCTTCAGGGAGACTCTGCTTTGGGAGCCAACCCCAGTGTTCTCCTTTCTTACAAGTAATAAAACCTGCTTTGGGTCGAATGTCCCCCCAAAACTTAGTCCCCACTGTGACAGTGTAAAGAGGGTGGGAAATCCTATTATGGCAATTGAAAGGTGGGGCCTTGAAGAGGTGATTGGATTCTGAAGACCATGCTGTAGTGAATGGATTAAAAATGGTGGTCAACGGGCTGGCCCGGTGGCGCACTGCGCTAGTGCGCCGCTTGGGAAGCGCGGCAGCGCTCCCGCCGAGGGTTCGGATCCCACATACAGACCGGTTCCCGCTCACTGGCTGAGCGAGGCACGGGGGCAACACCGAGGGTTGCGATCCCGTTGCCGGTCCCGGTCCGGTACGGGGGCGACACTGAGGGTTGCGATCCGTTGCCGGACACGGAAAAAAGACCAAAAAAAAAAAATGGTGGTCAAGGACATAGTTCTGAGGGCTTTAAAAGAAGAGCACATGAGAGGATAGTCTCTCTGCTCCACCATTTTCTGCCATGTGAAACCCCCAGGTCACTGTCGCCACCACCAGAACCCTCACTAGCTGTGTTCCCTGGACTTTGGACTTCCCTGCCTCCAAAACTGTAAGCAATAAATTTTGTTTTCTCATAAATCGCCCAGTTCAGGTATTTCTGTTACAAGCAACAGAAACGGACTAATACAAAGCCTTTTCCTCCTACGCTGGTCTTGGCTGTGCTCTCTGAGGGACAGCTCCCCTTTGTCTGGTAGCTTAAAACAACAGAAATGTATTTCCTCACAGTTCTGGAGGCTGGAAGTCAGACGACTAATACAAAGCCTTTTCCTCCTACGCTGGTCTTGGCTGTGCTCTCTGAGGGACAGCTCCCCTCTGTCTGGTAGCTTAAAACAACAGAAATGTATTTCCTCACAGTTCTGGAGGCTGGAAGTCAGAAATCAAGGCGTCAGCAGGCCATTCTCCCTCTGAAGACTCTAGAGAAGAGTCCTTCCTGCCTCTTTCAGCCTCGGGTGTTTGCTGGGGTTCCTCGCTGTGCCTTGGCTGGTCCCTGCATCCTCCAACCTCTGCTCTGGTCTTCAAGTGGCTATCTTCCCCATGTGTCTCCTCTTGTCACTGCCTGCAAATCTCCCTTTTCTTATAAGGACACCAGCCATTGGATTTAGGCCCCACCCTGATCCAGTATGACTTCATCTTACCTTGGTTACATCTGCAAAGACCTTATTTCCAAATGAAGCCACATTCACCGGTACCGGGGGTTAGAATTTCAGACTATCTTTTGGGGTGGCACAGTTCAACCCATGCCACTTGCTAGATGTCATCTTTTGAGTGGGGCTGGTAAATGGGTATTTCTAATAACCCTCAGCTAGGTTATGCCATCCAGGGGAACCATCTCTCAGATGGAGCCAGTATAACCTGAGAACTCATGGGTGGTGGCTTCCCGGAAGGGGTTCTGGGGAGCGTTGGGGGAGGACTCAGAACTCTGAGTGGGGGGAGCATGACAGCAAAGCAATACAGGTGGCAGAGGCTTGTGTCTAGGGCAAAGGAAGGCAGGACGAAAGGCTTCCTGGACAGCATGGGCCCAAAGTTGGAGTCTGGCTCCAGATAAATCAAGGCATCTATGGCTTCATCAAGGGTCTAAAAATGCACTCAAGAGAACAGCGTTGGAACAGCTGAAGAGCTCCAGCACGGGTGGCTGGGCGGGGAAGAGCTGGTTCCGAGGATGCTCGCCTCCTACAGACTCAGCAGGGATCAGCCACTCTGATTTCAAGCTTTGCAGAGCTCTGTCCAAGGTCTTTCACTTTTTTCCTGAACCCTCCCTCCAGGTTAATCTCACCTCTTTCCGAGGCTTCAAACACTATTTACATGCTGATGGTGTCTAGATTTGCATCTCAAACTCAGAGCCCTTCCCCCACCCCAAGCTCCAGAACTGTTTCCCAATTACTCTCTGTCCCCGCATATCTGGCAGGCCCGAGATTTAACATTTCCAAAGCTGAACTCACCCCCAAACTTGTTTGCCTTCCGGTAGTTCCTATACCAGTCAGTAGCATCACTACGCACCCAGCCCCCCAAAACTAGAAATCTGGGGGTCATCTTATGCTTCTCCCTCTATTTTGCACAAACAAAATCACATCAAATCCTTTGCCCCGGCTGCATTCTCCTGCTTTCAGTTCAAGTGCATCTCCAGGCTTGAACAGCACAATAGCCTCTTCACTAGAAACGTGGCCCCTCTTCCCTTCTGGGAGAGAGTATCCTCCACCATTGTCACCAGAGCTAAACTTGTAAGAAACAAATCTGATAAACTCTGCTGACCAGGGCATAAATGCCAAACTCCTCAGAATGACACACAAATCTTCACATAGGGACCCACTCACCTCTGTGCATCACCTCTCCCAACCCCCAAAATCATTTTTTCTAGTTGTGAAATTTTTTGCTAAAAAAAAAAACCTCACAGGGTCCTAAATACAAAATTAGTTTTAAAAGAGAAAGGGAGAGGGGAATAAAGATATCTACCCTCCTTCCCTGATTCTGGAGTCATGGAGTATTGCCTGGAGATGAGTGTCTTTCCAAGTCATCTAGAGGGAAATTCAGGTTTGTCAACCACAGGGTCATGCCGTTCTTACAAAAGTCTAACGTATCACATTAAAGAACCCAAGCTACCATGTTCTTTCCAAACTTATTGTAGAGTACGGGGAAAGGACACAAAGACAGGAGGTGATACACACCTATATTAAACCCCAGGGAACTGGCAAGCAGAAATTTTAACATCGAAAAGGGCAGCTGCGTAGCTTGCAAACCTCACGCGTCACATAAAGCACAGTTCGGTTTCCCACATTTCTTCCCCAAAATACGTCTGGAAAATGCTGTCCCACTGGCTAGGATTGGTCGGCACTCCTTTACACTGCTCAGTTTTAAGGGAAGCCGTCAAAGCTGTCGCATTAAAGCATTTTGCTTTATTTTCATCAGCAATGCATCAGAAAGTCGAAAATCGGGAAAAAGGTTATTTCACGAGCTGAGGCTCTCCCATCGATGTCAACTGAAACACATACGAGGGTTAGGCTGCCATGTTTACTCGGACATGTGAAGAACCAACAATGCAACTGGGAAACCTGAAGCGGTGTTTCAAGACTGCCAAGCATATTAAATGTTCGAGAAACTTTGCAGGACATTTGCGTCTTCCACGGAGGCTCCTATGAAGTCCGGGCCCAAGCTAAACAATAGGAGAGAGAGAAGTTGGGAGTCGGGGTGAATCCGACGCCCGTTTGTGTGTTCAAATCTTTCCCTGGAGCGGAGGCGGCCTTTCCTCGGCTCCCGCACCCCTTTGCAAATTGCGTTCTTAGCCATTGTCTTCCAGCACGAGCCGCCGGCAGCGCTCCTCGGGGAGCAGGTACCGCGGCGCGGGTGCAGCGCGGCCCAGCCGCCCGGGATGTGGCAGACACTCCCGGCCCTTCCAGCGGCTCGAGGAAAAGGAGGTGGCCCGGGCGCCAAAGGCTGCTGCCAATGCAACTCGCAACTTTTGAAATCAATCCTTTTTGCATCATGCAACGGATGCCACCGCGCCTCGGTTTGCAACCCCCCACCCCTCCCCCGAGACCAATCATTGCCGCGCTCGGGCCTGCACAGCGCCCCCGCCCCCTTCCCGGGCCGCACGCAGCCACCGAGC